TTTTTCTCTGTGTTTTCAAAAATGCCTGGCATAGATGTAGCTGTTCTATAAACAAATGTTAATTAATATTTCGCTTATTGAGTTTAAGTTATTGTAACCTACTTGTTGTGACTTTATCTCCTACAGTTATAAATTTTCCATAACTATCTCCTATAATAAAGCATAATGCATATAAGCCCTTATATATACTACATGGTTTCATAAAAATTAATTATATAAAATCATAAATTCATGTTTGAAGGCACCTCCCATCTTCCCAAGTTTTGTTTTTTGTTTTTGCATTTAAGGAAGATAATGATCAGAGATATTAAATGATCTGTCAAATGTAAACTTACAAAGGTAGCTGGTGGCCCCACCAAACCAAATAAAAACTACTAGTGTTAAAATAAAATGAAGAATTGGGGATTAAACATGATAACACAGTCTATTAGGACAGGTGCATACACTTTTCCAACGTCTACAGAGAGAATGTAATACTATCATTTACTTTTTATTATAAGGACAAAAAAATCTCGCTTCTCCAGAGTTAGAAGTACTTTAGCAGAAATGAATTCATTTAATTTCACTGACTCCCTGGGAAGAAATTCGGAGAACATATTAACTCTATGTTATAAATAGAGATATTGTCCAGAGAATCGAAGTGAAAGGGCTCAACACTGTTGACCAAAATTGGTGGTTAAAACGCTAATCCCCTCATGGGGAAGCCACATCTGTCCATGGGACAACATAACAGGTTTGTAAATACAGTCCAGTACAAAACAATTTTTAGATTAAAAAAAAATCACATCAACATCTTCCAAAATAGTTCTCTACTAAAACCATTCAGAAGAACAGATACAAGAACACAGGGAAAAAAAGCAAAGAGAGAAACCTGGACAATGTCAGGTTCAAATTGTCGTGTTTCTTTGAACTACATGACTACATAGAGCATCAGAGGGTAAAAGGTGGAATGATTCTTTTCTTATCTTTATGTAATCTAGAATAGTAACTATTTTTTTCCCCAGGCTAAATTTATATTACTACAGAGAGAAGATAAATATACAAGATGAGAACCACCACTGAAATTCCCACACAGTCCTCACGGGGAAGTCCAAGTAAGCAGGAGACCTGCCTGGAGAAGCCTTTAACTGTTATATGGCTAATCCGTTTGGAACACCTTGTTCTAAATGGAGAGACAAAAGAGATTTGCTGTAAAGTCTTCTACTTCAACTCCCAAGAAGACAATAGTGGATTAGGTGACCAGAGAGACTACTTGGAAACTTCCATGCTTGTGGTGTTTCTGAGTCATGTCTTCAGTCAGGGATAAAGCTGATTTTGAACGATGTGGCTCATGCTTCAGCAATGTTTTGCTCTAGACAGATGGACCATATGGAAACTATGAGCTGACTTCATACACAGGACCATGATGAGCCAATGCAACATTTTTATGTTTTCTGTTTCTATTCAAGAGGTCTGGTGAACAATATATTATTGTAAGACATGGCATATTATGTGCCGTTGTTTCAATTCTGAATGGTGATTATTTTTGATGTCATAGTTGTTTAATACAGGGGTTTTTTTTTTTTTTTTTTTAAAAACACACTTTCATTTAACAAAAAAGGGCTGAAATATTCTGGGTGTTAAATATACTCCAATTCTTCCCTAAAGGTACTGGCTTGCTTTGATGTATCAATAAAGACATGGTCCAAAAGGGGGAGGAAGTTATCAAAATCACAGATGTTGAAGATTTCCTTTCGAACAAGACCCAGTAATAAGCCTTAACACTTTTCTGAAAGATTCTAACTACCAAAAAATAAAATAAAATTACAACGCCAATTCGCTGAGAACTAGAAGACAAGTATAACCCACTAGACAATTAGGCTGGGGGATACAGAGTGTTCATTCATAGTTTGCTGCTTTAATAATTATTAGAGTAACAGCAAACATTTCACTTAAAGGTTAAGAAAAATCCATAGCAAGCCTTTTTTTCTGGATTGGGCTTAAAATTTAATGAAAAACTGTGTTGGTGAAAAAAAATTATAGTTGTTGGCACAATATCAAAATGGAACAAAAGAACAGCACTTACGCGATTACGCGTTTGTATAGGATGTGGGCGGGCTAAAGAATAGCTGAAATTAATATGTGGAAAATCAGTGCACTGGTTCCTTAGAGGGATTCAGGAACTATCATCTGTACTCACTCAGCTTATAAATCTTTGCAAAGGCTATGATGAAAAATGATCATGTTTCATTATTATAATTAAAATATAGTGGTCTCAGACGCTTTTCTAAAGAAACAAAAATATGAGACAAAAATAATATGGGTACAATAGTTTAAAAAGGAGAAGAATTTAAGGAACTATAATTTAAATGCTTTTTCAAGGAGATTTGTTAAAACATAATTAGATTGTATGCCTAAGATTAGGACAGAATAACAAGATTTCCCCATATAATAAATGAACCTTATATTTTACAGATTGTAATTCTCAGCTCTGGTATTTTCTATTTTCATCAGAGAAAATCTTCTAGAAAACGATAAAATTTGCTCACTCCAATTCACTATGATAACTATGGGAGTGCCGTGTTTCTGCTGTATTCACAGCAAGTCGACAGGATCAAAGCCTAAAACTGACCAATTTTAATTCTATGTTAGTAAGAATATACAGATTTGAATATATACAGCAAGGTATATAGATTTGAATATATTGGTGATCAAAAAGTGAATCTCTAAGATTAATTTTAAGGTAATAAATATTGATAATCATATGAAATAATTCAGACCTGAAAGAAATAAATTTCTTCTACATCCTCTTTCATTTTTACCCTGCTTTAAAATTTTGAGAAGACCTTTACCCATTAATTTTATCTTGGCTTATAACTACTACCTGTCTCTCTAGGAAAAAGATGGTTAGCAATTGAGATTAGAATTCTAGTCTTGTGATTCCCAGTCTTTTACTCACTCTCACAGACCATATTTACTTTTATAAGTTGTCTATCTTCATTGATAAAATCAGCTATACAACCACCAAAACTTGTCGTCTTCTGGAACCACATCTACTCTTTAAAGAGCTTTTGAGGGCAAGAAAGCAGTTCTGGGAGCTACTTGTCCACAGCCTCGAAGTCCCATGAGATCCTACAGACAGCCCCTGTCCAGAATGCACGGGAGCAGCAAAACGTTTCTTACAAAATGATATTTTTGTTTGGTGTCATGATTTTAAAATATGTATCTTTAAAGATGCACTTGTACTTACAAACAGGGTTTTCTTAGAACTGGCACATAAATATTTGTATACTATTTATATGATGTAAAGGGAAAAGACCTTGTTAACTCTTTCTTGTGCCTTTTTGTTTTCCATTCTGTTAATTGCTCTTTCTCCGAGCTCAACTGTCTCTCTCTGACAAATTTGGTCTTCTTTGTCAACATTTAAGTCACACGCTAATATTCTGGAGCAGGAGACAATTTTATACGGCATGGTTTTTTCTCACTTAAGACAAGCACCGCTACTTTAGAACACAGGGACGCAGCTATTGGTCAACTGCAAAATAAATGTGTACTTTTCATCATTCCAATGAGATATTGAACATCTTTTCGAGACATCGAACAAAACTTGATGGGCTCATCAAATTTTATGAGCCCAAGTACTACACATAGCCTCAATATCAAGAGGAGACTTAAAATGCATGGCACAAGAAACACGTGCTTTTTAATGAGACCCACTAATTTTAACTACAACATTTAAATATTTAATGTACGAATAACATCATTGTTTCACTCTGTCTGTTGAGAGAGAATAACTGTGACACTTCTTTTTTTCGTTTTTTTTTTGCAGGGAAAGATTCACCCTGAGCTACCATCTGTTGCTAACTTTCCTCTCTTTATTTTCCTCCCCAAAGCCCCAGGGCACAATTGTACATCCTAGTTGCAAGTCCTTTTAGTTCTTCTACATGAGCTGCTGCCACAGCATGGCAATTGATTACTTAATTAATTTTAAGGTGTGGTAATTAATTTGTGGTGTGGTCCCACAACTGGGAACTGAACCTCAGCTGCCGAAGCAGAGAGAGTGCCGAACTTTAACCACTAGGCCATCAGGGCCAGCTCGTGTGATACTTCTTTTTTTTTTCTGAGGAAGATTAGCCCTGAACTAATATCAGTTGCCTATCTTCCTCTTTCTCTGCTTGAGGAAAATGAGTCATGAGCTAACATCTGTGCCCATCATCCTCCACTTTATATGTGGGTTGCTGCCACAGCATGGCTGACGAGTGGTGTAGGTCCACGCCCAGGATCTGAACCCGCAAACCTGGGCAGCTGAAGTGGAGTGCATGAACTTAACCACCATGCCACGGGGCCGGCCCCCTGTGTGATATTTCTTAACGGTGCATCAACTTCTTCAGGTCATTGGAGATATCACCATTCTATCTACAAATAATTCCAGTGCATGATGAATTGTGTGCCTTCTACACACGATGATGCTGCACACACTAAATGCATTTCCAAATGCATGTAATTCACTTTTTTTCATTAGTGAGATCAACCTAAATTCCATTTTTAAAAATAGTAATGAAACAATAAGCTAATGCCATGTATAACAGATGTGTCAGTAAAGAATCTTCTACCTTTTGCTTCTTTTAGTGTCCTATTCACTTTGCACATGATCACTGGGGTAAAAAGGAACATTATCTTACAGCTTAATTCATACATTAGATGGAGAAGTAGGTAACAAAGTTATAGGCCTCTATGCTATTTGCACATTTCTTCTAGGAACAATGAGAAAACCATGAGGAAAGCAACTTTATAAATATGCAGGCAAAAAAAAACCATTCAAAAAAGCAAAGAACAATTCCAAATATAACTGAGAAGATGACAAATGGCGTGAACTTCTCAAAACACTCTACAAATAAAACAGCATTATTCAACAGGATGCAACGAAATTGGAAACAGAAGCAACAACACATCATGAGACACGAAATCATCTGAAAGAAGCAATTATGGACACGAGCCACACAGAGGATTTCTTTTCTTACTTGCACAAGTATCTTGAGGGGTTTGAAAGGTCTTTCACCATGAAGCACTCGCCTCCATTCACACAGAAAGTTTTCTCCTTCTCTGCACATTTTACAAGATGGCTTGTTCCGGTTGTAGACGTAGATGTGGCTGGATAGAAGACAGACAAAGGGAAAGGTTTATATCCATCTCTCTCGCTTCTAAATAGACTTTATTCTTAAATTCTCTTTAAAGCAAGTGTTCAGGTAAAGTACGGCAACTCCACTAACCTTTCAGGCTTAACAAACAACAGCAAAGAAATCAAGGATTTTCTCGGTGTAATTAAATAGGACAAAATTATAAAAGGATAATTATACTTAATTAATTTCACTATAATGAAATAGGAAAAGAGGCTCAACATTTTTTATATCCAATATTTTATCTTCTAAGGAAGTTGGAAACAGAAGATCTATTGTCATTAAGTAAAATACATTTTCCAGGAAGGCTCAAAGACAATGATAGAAAGTTATGTCAGTGCAACTCAATTTCCATATCAATTTTTTTAATAGCAACTAATTATTCATTTTGAAAATTATGTTTTATATGTATATTGACTTTACAGTTTTTAGACGTAATGTTTAGCAAAGAAAAATACAAGGTGGCTTATTTACTCCTAACGAGAAAATTACATATTATTAATTGGATATATGTTATCATACAGATCAGGGGCCACTCTATTGAAAATTTCCATTCTACTCTAATTTCCACTCAGAAGCATAGTGTTCAATGTTATACTTTTACTTTTTATGAAAAGTATACAATTATACTTTTTATGAAATGGAAAGACAGTCTAATATTGCTGCAAATATAGAATAAAGCACTACAAAATTCACCCATTGTGAATTAGGAGCAGATATAAGTGTTAATTCTGGTTTGCAATGTCTTTATGTGATAAGCTTGATATTCACTTGTCAAACTTCACAGTTATCTGAAAGAGAATCTGAAAACGAGGCCTCCACCATTAGATGCATGGATTAAATGAAGCCAAAGCTCTCAGTCCTGAGACTTTAAGGACGTTTAGTATCAGAACTTCTCCCCACTTACAGCACTGGGAATACCACAGGTAATGTTCAGTCTCAACCAAAAAGTATAATTTACATAATGTTTATCACTGATATTATCAGGATGAAAAGCAAAACCAATATGTCAAGCCAACGAAGATTCTATTTACTTTTGCAGAAAAAAATATCTTTAGACAAAATTTTTTTCTTGTCTACTGACTGATTCTTAGTGATTTTTAATTCTTTGTCTTTATTATCAATTTCTATTTTATTATTTGCATGTGAAATTCAGGTGTCCTTGTTTACTTTTTTTGACCTGTCATGTATTATTTGTCCATTTTCTTCTGCCTTTCTTTTTCATTTCCCGCACAATCCACATTTTGTTTTGACTTTTAACCCAATTTCTCCTCCACCTCTGCTAGAAGTTTACTCTACTTGATCAAAATACTTAACATTTGATTATTCAGTTTCTGAATAACTCAAGACCTTTCTTGCCTCTTAATCTCCTGTCTAAGCATGTTTTTTGACCATTTCACTACTCTCCGCATGGCTTTTAGGAGTAACAGCACAGGCCCAAAGTCAAAATGACTTACACTTTGGAGAGATCTGGTTCAAATCTATCTCCTACTAGCTTTGTGTCCTTGAGCAAGTCACCCAGGTGCTCAATTTTTCCATTTAGAAAATAGCAGTAATAGCACTCAAAGGACTTTTTGCAGAAATTATAAGTAATTTAGGTAAAGGAATTGGCACAAAACTGTCACTCGAGAATAATAGCAGGCATTATTACTGGGCAAGTGGGGAAGGTATTTATCAATAAGATAAAGCTTGACGATGGAAAATCTGGGGATTTCAAAGACGCATGCTATTCTTGAATCATTACTGTGGGTAATTCAGAATTGGGTCAATTTTCATATTACTCCCACAAAAAGTCCTTTTCAAAATGCATTTCAAGATATCCTTCACAGGTTTACAAACCAAACAAAAGGCATCAGGGAGAGAGAGAAGGGGGGTGATTTTACTCTCTATTATCAGCTATAATTTACCATTTTTATTAGGAAGAGTGGAATGTAATTTGCATCATTTGGTCTGTAAAATTATAGAGTAGACAACATTTCTATAAGTCACACAACATAAATTTTAACATACTATTATATCTTCATGTGAAAACTGTTTACTTGGGTGCTATGTATTAATATTTTCATCCATGGCAACTGTTTTTAAAAAATATTAGGAGGAGGTTTGCTTCAAATGTTAAAGGTTTTGTGCTTAAGACTTTTAACTGCTGACGCTGACAGGATTCTATGGGATGACAAATTGGCCAGGCTACCTTTGCTGTCCCGGGTGACAGCACTGCATGGACCACCTGCTGTGTGCTGTCACCAGTCATTCCTGCAGAGGAGCTCTGAGCCCCCAGCAGACCCCAGTGGTCTCTGAATCCCTGACAGGTTGCTAAGGATTACCCATCACCCAACCTGAGCAGCAAACACCGCACCAGGCTCTTTCAGAACAAATCCTGAGGCTTTTACTAAAAACAACAAAACCAGTATCTCCCCAAAAGAAGATACCCCACAGAAATTGTAAACTAACAATAAAGATTAGCAGCAGTATAAGCAAGAGACAGACACATCATACCTATTCTGTGGACGTTCTGATCCTGTGTTATCAAATAAGTAAGATTAATATGTTACAACTAGAAATAATCCCTTTCGTTTTAGTCCTTTAAAAATATTTACCCCTGAAATGATTATCCTTTTGATGCTATCCTGCAGCTCTGAGTTATGACACATTCATTTGAAAAATTCTTTGATCATTACTTGAAACTAGTAATGGGATATTTGATAGTAAAATAATTCTTGGAGAAAATGAAGTAGCAACTATCTCCCATGGTCACGACCCCTCATGCTTTGTACTTTTTTCTTTTAGCAGCAGCGAGAGCAAAAATGATCACGGAATTGGAAAGCAGCAATTAACTCCCAGGTGATGTGAAGTGCGAACTGACTGGGTACAGCTGTTGTGAACCAACAGCCAAACACAGGAATGAGCTGTAATTGTCAGAAGAACCTGGGATGGAGATGTGACAGATGCACCCTTCAGATGTTTGCCAGGTTTCCTTTTATCCTCCTTAGCTGCACGCAGTGCACAGTCAGTCCTAAGCAGATCTATAAATTTTGCAGCAATATCCTTTCTCTTTGGCTTACATACGCTGTATTGCTTTGTTTCCCTTTGGTAAATCTGCCAGAAGTTAATGAAACAGACAAAGTAGTTTCTTAAACCAAACTATGGAAATAGCATTCTTTCTGGGGGAGCTGGGAGGAGTTTATTAGAGGTGAAGCTAAAGGTTTTGCAGATAGAATAGTGTTTCAATAATATAAAAGATGACCCTCAGAGTTGTTCCTGGAAGTAAGTGAAGTCGATCTCACTCATTCAGCACTTCCTAATCCCTGCCTCCCTCTGCTTTGTGACTAGCTCGTCATAATTTGGGAGTTTGTCATCTTCTAGTAAGTGCTAAATGAACAGCAGTTAGGAACACTGCAAAATATGACCCTGTTGTTTTTATGTTTGCCATTTTATGAACACTTAATCCTAAGCACACTTTCCTTGGGATGTTAGCAACTTCGATATTCTAAGGAGGAAAGTATAGATAAAGCATAACTCGTTAGCCTTCGCAGTGATTCCCTCTCGACCTGATCCAGTCTCTCCTGGTGACGTAGGTCAGGACTAGTGACCATCCCCGGACAGGCTGGACAGTTCTCTGACTTAGCTGAGGATATGGAGACTAAATCACCACTTATGGACTCCCAAAATCCCGAACCACACAATAGGACTTGCTCCTACCTTCCTTCCCCTCCTCCTTCCTTCCTTTCCTTCCTTCCCTCCCTCCTTCTCTCTTTCATTCCTTTCTTCCTTCTATTATGTGCAAGACATAATGATAACAACTAGAGTTACTGGGGTTAAAAATTATAAGGTTGTGAACAATTCTCCCTAAAAGGAGACCTTTCTAGATAAAATGTAGTGAAATGAACACTGGAGTTCGTGAAGAATCAGGTTCAAGGTTCATCACTGCCCATTACTAGCTGCGTGATACTTGTCAGCGAAACTGCCTTAGAAAATTCAGCTGTAAAAATGAGATATCACAGGGTTGTTGTGAAGTGTGATAAAATACTTTGTCAGTTGCAACACTGCACACAAACATATGATACATTACTCTTACCAATGGCATAAACATGGAACAAATAGAAGCAAAAACATTTCTGTGCAGACTCTGGAATTATATATAATCAAGCCTCAAATGTTTCTTAGTAAATCATTCTTCTATAAAATATGAAGAGAGAGTCTAATTTGGAGGGGTAACCATTACATGATTGCAAAGCATTAAGTAAATATCAATCATCTACTGTATTTTAACTTTATCATAATTGCTTTGTCAAAAATTTATAACCTCTAAACTTGACTATAAAATAAATGAAAGAACAATTTGAGTAAAAACCCCAACAAACTAGCATCTTAAGTCTGTGATCATTTTCAGCTTTCAAGATCCACACAATTCTTTAAAATTTCTAATTGAACTTCCACGTTACATGAATTAAGTGTACTTACAACATGGTGTTATTGTAACAGTTTAAAAACTCTAAAATATTAAAAAATAGTGTGGTGTCCATGGTATATGGGATATAGTATAAACTGTTTATAACTAAACATTTTGGAAATCACATATTATTGCACATTTTTATAAATACACAAAAACCTTGAGGAGTAATTAAGTGGCCTCTGTTTGTTACTAAATATTTTCCCATACAATCACACAGTATTTCCTGTAGAATGTCAGGCTTTTTCTGCTCAAGGCAGCCTGAGGAGAAAATAATACTGGAAAAGATGGCTTACTTTCTTGCTTGTTTTAAGTGGTGTTTTACTTATCAGTGAAGTAGACAGAAACAACAGACCAGGGCCATTACACAAATGCAAACTGCTGATAAGAAGCCACTCTATTCTTCTTTGAGAATTAGCAGGAATTAGCAAGAGTGTACAGTGTTTACCCCAAGGAGCAATCATTAGATCCTGTCTTCTCTGACTGAGCCCTTATTAGTAGTTTTTAGGACAATTCTTAATGAT